GGGGGCGGGGAGAAGATAAACGAGCCCGCGACGCAACTGCGGAGGGGAAGGTATACATATGCGACGCTACTCACAACAGGCCTGGAGTACAGGCTACGGAAAGCCTCTCAGATGTTTCTCGCGATCGTAACTATGCAGTACTGTAACGTCTACTTCGCTCGCCAACGACACAAGTTACCGCACTCTCGATTTTTTTTGTGTGGTTGTTTCGCACCGGTGACTCTGGTCTTGTAACTAACCTTGATTACTTCGTATTCATCACTTTCGAGAGGTAGAGTAATCACTCATGTAATCGGCGAAACAGTCACAGACATCAACATGATCCGAAGTGGAATCATCGCCCTGCTGGCCCAATGGATAAGGCGCCACCCTCCTAAGGTGGAGATTCCGAGTTCGATCCTCGGGTAGGGTAGATAAGTTTAGTGAGAATCATTAGAGGACGACTCGATTGAGCTGGCTGTAAACGACACAGTGAGGAGTAAAATTTTGAATGAAAATAGGTCAAATGGAGGACTAGTCCAATTGTGTGTATGGGTGTGTAGCTCAGTGGTAGAGCGGCCGACTGCAGATCAGCAGGTCCTTGGTTCAAATCCGGGCGTGCCCTTTGAACCTTCGCAAAATTTCCATCAAGGAATTTTCGAGAGGTAGAGTAATCACTCATGTAATCGGCGAAACAGTCACAGACATCAACATGATCTGAAGTGGAATCATCGCCCTGCTGACCCAATGGATAAGGCGCCACCCTCCTAAGATGGAGATTCCGAGTTCGATCCTCGGGTAGGGTAGATAAGTTTAATGAAAATCATTAGAGGACGACTCGATTGAGCTGGCTATAAACGACACAGTGAGGAGTGCAATTTTGAATGAAAATAGGTCAAATGGAGGACTAGTCGAATTGTATGCATGGGTGTGTAGCTCAGTGGTAGAGCGGCTGACTGCAGATCAGCAGGTCCTCGGTTCAAATCCGGGCGTGCCCTTTGAACTTTCGCAAAATTTCCATCAAGGAATTTTCGAGAGGTAGAGTAATCACTCATGTAATCGGCGAAACAGTCACAGACATCAAGATGATTCGAAGTTGAATCATCGCCCTGCTGGCCCAATGGATAAGGCGCCACCCTCCTAAGGTGGAGATTCCGAGTTCGATCCTCGGGTAGGGTATATAAGTTTAGTGAGAATCATTAGAGGACGACTCGATTGAGCTGGCTGTAAACGACACAGTGAAAAGTGAAATTTTGAATGACAATAGGTCAAATGGAGGACTAGTCAAATTCTGTGCATGGGTGTGTAGCTCAGTGGTAGAGCGGCTGACTGCAGATCAGCAGGTCCTCGGTTCAGATCCGGGCGTGCCCTTTGAACTTTCGCAAAATTTTCATCAAGGAATTTTCGAGAGGTAAAGTAATCACTCATGTAATCGGCGAAACAGTCACAGACATCAACATGATCGGAAGTTGAATCATCGCCCTGCTGGCCCAATGTATAAGGCGCCACCCTCCTAAGGTGGAGACTCCGAGTTTGATCCTCGGGTAGGGTATATAAGTTTAGTGAGAATCATTAGAGGACGACTCGGTTGAGCTGGCTGTGAACGACACAGTGAGAAGTGAAATTTTGAATGAAAATTGGTCAAATAGAGGACTAGTCGAATTGTGTGCATGGGTGTGTAGCTCAGTGGTAGAGCGGCTGACTGCAGATCAGCAGGTCCTCGGTTCAAATCCGGGCGTACCCTTTGAACTTTCGCAAAATTTTCATCAAGGAATTTTCGAGAGGTAGAGTAATCACTCATGTAATCGGCGAAACAGTCACAGACATCAATATGATCCGAAGTTGAATCATCGTCCTGCTGGCCCAATGGATAAGGCGCCACCCTCCTAAGGTGGAGATTCCGAGTTCGATCCTCGGGTAGGGTATATAAGTTTAGTGAGAATCATTTGAGGACGACTCGATTGAGCTGGCTGTAAACGACACAGTGAAGAGTGCAATTTTGAATGAAAATAGGTCAAATGGAGGACTAGTCGAATAGTGTGTATGGGTGTGTAGCTCAGTGGTAGAGCGGCTGACTGCAGATCAGCAGATCCTCGGTTCAAATCTGGGCGTGCCCTTTGAGCCTTCGCAAAATTTCCATCAAGGAATTTTCGAGAGTGAAGGTCTCCCAAGAGAGCAAGTTCACGGATAGCCGAAAGACAGATGACGGAATTTCAAGAGAAAAGCAAGACGTCAAGTCGTTGCTAAAGCAGTGATCCAGTCTGATCACCTTCGGACCACACACCCAAGAACAGAGAAAGTTCCCCAAAGTGCTTGAGAATTCCTGTTGGGAACCCTCAAGCACTCTTAGTTAGGCATCAGACGAGCTATCTTGGGTGTGACGGTGTTTATATTTTTTTTTGCCTCTTTCTTTCTTCCTTTCAGTCTTCTTGGTTCTTTCCTTTCATCCCTTTGCTTCTTTTCTTCAGGTTCATCGAATATCGTGTATGAAGTGGCAGGTTTAAGACTAATTTTTCCATCATTGTGCGGTTTCACTTAATATGTTGTGTTTTAAGCACTGACTGGGACTTGGTAGGGAACCAACGTGGCCCAGTCATGTGTCGCCCTGAAGTGGCAGGTCGAAATTCGACCGTCGAATATAGGCTGGGCTCGCTATCCCTACAGCACCGACCTATGGCGTAGGGTCCGAACCATTGGGACGTCAACGAATTGTTGATAACAATATCACATGGTCGACACCATGATTTAGTCACTCCCTCAGTGGCGGGATGGTGGGGTAAAGAACGACAAGCGGAAGCTGTCGTGACTCTCGAGGTGGTCTCGAGTAGTAGCCCTGCCGGGATCATCCCGGCGGGATGTTAGTCTCATCATGAGACCTGGGTTCTGTGCGTCTCTGTCTCGGGGTTAGACCAAGCTGATACCCAGAGTTGATCGGGCTAGAGTGGCTCTACGAGTTTAGGACGGCCGCCTCGCGTGGCTGACCACTCGTCGACTTGCCTCCGTGTCCGCTCAATCTCTCGTTGCCCTAGAGATAGTGACTGCGACACTGTATTCTCCACCGAGGCTCGGTGACCGAGCTGTGGACCTTAGCTTCGCGTGCCAGGCTAGGCAGAAACTCTGCCACAGAATTCAGCTAGACGAGTATTGGGTCATGCTACGATTTACGTGAGCTGGTCGCAGATTGTTTTTATATGTCTACCACGCCCAGCACGCCCGACCTCTTCCGCGAAGTTTTCCCCGACTTGGCTGAGAAAGCGTCGACTGTTTGTGTCGACATGGGTATTAGTACCGTGGGTGTGCTCGAGGCGGCCCTGGAGGACAAGGAGCTGACCGACGAACTATTGAGAAGGTGTGCATATGGGGGACTCGACGGAGAGTCCGAAACAACCACTATGACGGAGGTAGCCGATGCGAAGTCTGCCAGCTCATCCACCAAAAGTCCCGGTACTGCCAGCGAAGTCGTCGATGCCAACAAAAACTATGGTGGTGGTGGTGGTGGTGGTGTCGTCGTGGTCGAGAATCTCGACCAGATCTCGACTCGAGATCTTCTCGAAGCTGAAGAAGACACGGTTGCTTATCTGAGCCGGTTGCTCTGGTTAGCGAGGTCACGATCGTTCGAGGCAGCAGTCGAGTGTGATAAGGGTTACAGGCTGGCCTTGCCACAAGGGGTCACCCGCCTGCGGGACACTGACCCTTCTCTCCAAGTCGACTCTGCCTTCGGTACCTATTTAAGATCCGATCAGTCTCACGAGTTGATAGCTGTAGCCTTGGTTAAACCGGCGATGAGCCAATCTGGCATACCCAGGCCACCTTCGGGCAAGGGTATACGTAGGCAAGGGAGCGCTATGCACTTCGGTGCTGACACTTGCCGTTTCACTCGCCAATCCTGTCCCTTTGGTAGGGATTGCCGTTATCGTAAACATTTCGGCGACCCCCAATCTAAGCCTTATTGGCAGAACGGTCAAGGTGGGGAGAAGGACAGTAGCTTCGGGTCTGATAAACGCCCTAGGACTGGGCAGGTGAAGGATGAACCATCAAGGAAGAACCCTAAGAACCAATAGCTGCGGCATTGGTTTGGTGCCAATCCAACACTGTTGAAGCTGAGTTTCCGCCATTTTCCGAAGTTTGATTATCATGTAGTCAAAACTGGTCGCTGCTGCGTTGCGTCGGTGCCGTTCCTAGTGGTCATAACACCATAAATGGGACGGAGGAAACGTCGTTCTCGGAACAACTGTCGTTCAGTTTGGTTCCCACTTAACAAAGAGACTCTTCTTTGGGAAATGCCACACGTGAGGTCTACCCAAGCGAAGAAACAGCGAGATAGGCGCAGAAAGTTGGGCAGCAAGCCTGAAGATCACCCTTGGGTGACGTCGACCCAGGAATTATCAGCCGCAGCGGTGGAGGGAAAGCCTCGAGATGGCTCCGGGTACTCAGGGCAGTGGGACAAGTTCGAGTTTCGAGAATCTGAGCTGCCATTAATAGAGAGTACTTCTGGGATTCTAATTAAGCACACAGAGAGGTTCTGTGCGGCCCGAAAGGACTTTTTAGATCGTTTCTTCGCCAGCTCTCGGGAAGAGCAATCCGAGATGAGTGTGGAGTGGAACGCCGATGATGGAGCTTCACTCAATAGTGTGGCCAATGATCTCCTTGAGGACTTGACCACTTTCATCTCGGTCGCGAAGGACATCAATAAATCGGAGCTGGGAGAGCTGGCCGCCCCCCCGTCCACTCTACGCGCTAGACTGCTAGAAGAACTCTGCCTCAGTACGGCCCCTGGTAAAGGAGCAACGACGGAGTCGCCCGGTGAAGACGCGGATATCTGCCGGATGGTAGCTGAGGGAGCACCAATTGGCCTCTTGATCCCGGTTCGAGTAAATGCGGAATGGCCAGCAGTCGATACTGACAAGTTTGGCAAACCAAAGAAGGATGAGCCGTCCTTCGTGCGGTGGCCTGGCGAAAAACTCGAGGAGCTGAGGCTACACGACTGGCCGCAGGGCAGCATTCCTCCAGATATGTATAGGCTGTTCGAAGAGCTCATAGCGAAGGAGCTTCGGCTAGGCCGGTTATCAGAGATTAATCCGACGAGTCCAGACTGCAAGGCGTTGTCGAAAGTTCATGTGATGTGGAAAAACGGGAAGGAATTTAAAGCCATCCGACAATTGGACGACTTCAGGAGGAGTGGTATCAATATTACCGTACGTACTGGAGCTCTACTCGAAAGCAAAGGCGAAGACGGTACTGTCCGTGGCCTGAAAACAACCCGCTGTCTCCCTAGGTTCCGGGATGTTTACGATCTATTGGCTAATGTCCCGCGACCAACCCCTAGTATTGGAGATGAGGATAGCCAAGTTTGGTTGTTAGAATGGGACATAGTATCAGCGTTCAAATTGATTAGTGCGGAATCGAGCGAACGCGGATTCCTATGCTCTCTGGACCCTCGGGATCCCAGCAAAGCCTTCAAGCACAATTGCCTGCCTTTCGGCCTCGTAACATCCCCGAGCGTTTCCGGGAGGCGAGCCTACGCTGTGTAAAACGCCTATTGGACTGTGCATTGCGAATGGCTGCCCCGGAGATTGTTACTACAGTATTTCGAGCGATCGTATATGTGGATGACTATACGATGGCCACAAGCAAGGCGAGGTTCTGTCTGGTATTCAGCCTGCTCCTGGAATACACTTGGAATACCTATTGAGCTGACGAAAACCCACGCTTTGAGGAGTGATGGAAGGATACTTGGTTATCGGGTGGATAATATCCACTGGATATCGGGGAGAATAACGATATCGAACTCAGCGTGCCGGTGACCAAAAGAGATAAGATAATCGCTGTGTTGCTATCCGATCAGCTATGTATACCGCGAGCAACGCTGGAGACGCTTGTTGGCCGCATAAACTGGTGTACAGGTTGGATTCCCGAAATACGGCCCAAATTGGATAAGCTCTATGAAGTACTGATGGTCCTGAGCCAGCGACCGTCTCTTCGGAGCGTCAGAATATAACCAACCAGGCGCCTAGAGCTACATAAGTCCGCCGAGACCTTCACTCGCAGTCACAACAAACATAATCCATACATTGACTACAAGGATGAGCATCTATTGGTGACCGATGCCTCTGGATGCGGTCTGGGTAGGGACTTCTTTCCACGATGCGATACTCGGAATCTAAGATAGTTTTCGATAAATATGGAGGAAAATCCCGAGATTTGGAGGCAGATTTGGTATGAGCGCAGGAATCGGCTCGATGATCAACTTCCTGCCGAGCTGGAACCAGTGAAGTTCGTCAGCGGTGATAGTAATTTCCTCGAACTACTCGCAGTCTATTATGGCTGCGAGTACATCCGGGCAATATGTGCTCCGTGGGTGACTTATATCAGATGCTTCTCTGACAACACTTGTACGGTGTCAGTACTAAGAAGCTTCAGGTCGCGCTCTATGAGCCTTGCTTCCGTCGTTTGGAGATTCGGCGACTTCCGTTACCGACTCAATGCTCATCATATTGCCGGGACCTTGAACAGCATAGCTGATGATATCTCTAGGTTAACTCGTGCTTCGTTGGTATCCACCGGTCAAATGCCGAGGTCGTGGCGGCAGGTGCCACGTTAAGTCCTTAAAAAAGCTGTGGCGTTCACTCCTCTTCAAGTCTGTAAGACATCACCTTTGTCAGAAGTTGTGGCTCACGACTAACGTGGGTTCATAGTGCTCGGTTTCTCGTTTGCGGACCCGACCGAGTTCCTGTCAATTTGAGTGGGCCCAACTAAAGGGATGCCAGATTTGTCCGTCATCGTTGGACCGCTACATTCCCCATGTCAGAAAACTCCGCCTTCACGAAGTGGAACGAGATTCAGCCTGCATACGGTTCAGCTGAGGCTACTGCTCAGAATCTGGAGCTACTAGGGCTCTCGATAAGTGAGGACACAAGAAGAGGCTACGAAAGGGCAAGAAGAGAGGTCTACGAAATGGGATTGTCCTCCCCTCTCAACGCTGGTAAAGTTATCCGATACATCAGATGTTTGTTGGATGTAACTGAGCTGAATTCGACCTCGGTACAGAAGCGAATTAAAGCCCTAAGGACTTTGCAGAAACTGGAAGGCTTTAGCACCATGGAGGCCGCGGATGAAACGCTTATTAAGCAAGCCATGCAGGCTGTTTTACGTATAACTTATACGGTATAAGGCCCCAGCGGGATGCCAAGCTCGCTGCCATAATGCTCGAGAGTGCAGTTGAGTTCCTATTTGACTGTCCTGAGGCACAGTTCAAGGACAAACCAGAGAAAAGCCTTGTACGATCAGCTCTCCTCAGCGGGATATCACCGTGCTTAAGGTCCGGCGAGTTGCTGCGCGTAAGAAGCCAGGATATCACTGAGATACTACCTGGGGTCCTGGGACTCATATTAGAATACACCTCGGTATCACCAAAGTCAACAAGATTGAGTACGTGGAGACCTCGTGTAATGCTTCGAAGGATGTGTGCGAACAAAGGGGGAAATGGTGCTGCTGCCACACTATGATTAGCCTCTGAGACGCGACGGCCAGGCCACTCAGAATCTTTCACAAAATCTATAAGAAGTCTACGGCGGAAGTTGAAAGCTTTGCCCAGTTTCTACCGGACTCTATTGGCGAGGTGGACCTTATGCAGTCTCTGAAATTTTCTGGTCATTCCTGCCGTAGAAGTGGGACAGTATATCACTTGCGTGCCGATGCACCAAGGCCAATTACCAAAGGAATATCGCGGTGGCGCCAAGACGCGATGATCCATACATATGGGGACGAGGAGGTCAAAAAACTCGCCAGGCACGGAGCAGCTATAGTGAGAGAATACGTACACCGCCCTCTGGACTAGGTGGATAGGAGGTGAACTCCATATAAGTCCGTGACTCACGGACCGTGAGTCACGAACTCATAAGTAATTGTGATCGAGGCCCGCTGCCCGCATAGTCTGAGGATGGTCGGATAAGGTGTTTCTGGGATCACTAGGATTTGTGTTTAAGAGTGATTAGTAACAAGGCCACACCTGTGTTTCATGGGTTGGGGACCCGAGAACGGCGGAAGGGATCAGATCACTGACATAAAACCCAGGCGTGAACTTGCTAACACCTTCAATTAACCCGTTGGGCATTCAAGTATGGAGCTTCGAACATGCACGCGGGAGAGGTTTGGCAACATGAGGCGGGGGCATTCACCCGGGATCTGCACGGTGGCTGATTGGTATAGCCGTGTTTTATCCCGGGCACTGAATGCGTCACGGACGTGGACTGCTTCTCACATGGGTTTGTGAGATCCACCCTCGCCCGTGACATATTGCCAAAACTCCCATCACAGAACCTCCATCAACTGCGAACGGCATGACGTGAGTGAAGGTCTCCCAAGAGAGCAAGTTCACGGATAGCCGAAAGACAGATGACGGAATTTCAAGAGAAAAGCAAGACGTCAAGTCGTTGCTAAAGCAGTGATCCAGTCTGATCACCTTCGGACCACACACCCAAGAACAGAGAAAGTTCCCCAAAGTGCTTGAGAATTCCTGTTGGGAACCCTCAAGCACTCTTAGTTAGGCATCAGACGAGCTATCTTGGGTGTGACGGTGTTTATATTTTTTTTTTCTATCTGAGATGGGGGGCATTCACCCGGGATCTGCACGGTGGCTGATTGGTATAGCCGTGTTTTATCCCGGGCACTGAATGCGTCACGGACGTGGACTGCTTCTCACATGGGTTTGTGAGATCCACCCTCGCCCGTGACATATTGCCAAAACTCCCATCACAGAACCTCCATCAACTGCGAACGGCATGACGTGAATCATTAGAGGACGACTCGATTGAGCTGGCTGTAAACGACACAGTGAAAAGTGAAATTTTGAATGACAATAGGTCAAATGGAGGACTAGTCAGATGCTGTGTATGGGTGTGTAGCTCAGTGGTAGAGCGGCTGACTGCAGATCAGCAGGTCCTCGGTTCAAATTCGGGTGTGCCCTTTGAACTTTCGCAAAATTTTCATCAAGGAATTTTCGAGAGGTAGAGTAATCACTCATGTAATCGGCGGAACAGTCACAGACATCAACATGATCGGAAGTTGAATCATCGTCCTACTGGCCCAATGGATAAGGCGCCACCCTCCTAAGGTGGAGACTCTGAGTTCGATCCTCGGGTAGGGTATATAAGTTTAGTGAGAATCATTAGAGGACGACTCGATTGAGCTGGCTGTGAACGACACAGTGAGAAGTGAAATTTTGAATGAAAATAGGTCAAATAGAGGACTAGTCAAATTCTGTGTATGGGTGTGTAGCTCAGTGGTAGAGCGGCTGACTGCAGATCATACTTCTGAACTTTTCGAGTTTCGAGGCTCGATCTCGAATCGATTCGGTCCCAGAGGTTATACAATCGATTGGTCCAATATCGATACCGGTAACCGAGAATCGATCTCGAATCGATTCTTTCGATTTAGGGGCGCCGGTTCGATCCAAGGCTCCGGCATTTTTATGTATTTTCTATTTCGAAAAGTTGCGCACAATGGAACCACTGAAACCCGGCACCTGCTCATCCGCGCCCCTAGATTCGTCGCCCCTAAGGTACTCAATCCGCCCCTAAATTGCCCAATCTGCCCCTAAATGACTCGTACCGGCCCCTAACTTTTCAAGCTACCCGAGCGTCCCTGAAGCTTCACTGCAAGCATGTCACGTGGCTTTGTTGACTGCCATGACATCTTGAGGAAAACTCATGTGCATCACGCTTGACCCTGGCCGTCTGAAAGATACATGTTCGAACTTGACCAGCCACTGGCTTGAACGTTTCGAAACCTTGGCCGACGCAATGATCAATCTAGTTTCACATCGTTGTGTTGAGCCGTGCTATCTACTGATCTTGGCCGGCGGCCAATGGCCGCCCTGAACACGTACTGAGCGTACTGAACTCCACCACGTAACTACATTTATTAGCTAAGCATACTGGTATGGGTCACTGAGACAGAAACTGTCAGTCTCAGAGAAGCTGTAACGATAGCGGATGACTCATCCAACTTTAGAACGCATGTGGCATATTTAGGGACGGATTGAGTAATTTAGGGGCGGGGCGAAGAATCCGGATTTTTGAACCTATGCTATATGCGATAACTATTAGAGTTATTAGGCTACTTAGTAGCCGCTACTAGGGATATTGAATTTGCGGTGTGGATTATGCTCAGAAATAGTATTTGGATAATCTTCTTCTGAATTACCGAAGAACTATCTCGAGGGTTCGTCGAGGCTCGAGGCAAACGCGCAATCTGACCGAACCCGGGGAATACCATCCTTCCGACCCGGGGAATCGGCATCTGCAGAATATCTGGCTGTCGCCGCAATTGGCAGCGTGCCACAGCAAAGCGACTCGCCTCGGGCGAACAGCAAGGTCGTGCGCGGATATTCAGTATCTCGCTGATGGAGTCTATCCGAGTCAGATAATCAGACAGCCTCCCAGTGCCTGTGGCTATCAACTGAGCGGTCTAGCCTCGACCCTTACTTTTTCTTCTCGTGGAAGTGCTTTGCTAAAGGCATCCTGAATTGTTG